CTCGCCCTCGCCCTCGCCCTCGCCCTCGCCCGCGCTCTGCTGGCCGGCCCGGTGGCCTCCACATGGCCCGCCCTCGTCTCTTCTCTCGGAACCGATGCGGGCGGGTCCACCCGCTCGCCAGAGGGCTGACAGAGGGGCACACAGCCAGAGACAGAGGCCCGCCCCAGCTGCGGCCGCCGGCTCAGCCTTCAAGCTTCCCTCTCTCTCTCTCTCTCTGACCGCCACCACCCTCAACACTCGCCACCAACGACAACACGCCGCAGCCACACAAGCGTTCCACTACCAAATCAAGCACACCGGCAGCGCACCACGTCCCCTCGCACCGCATTCAACCCGGCCATCGTCGACCCAGCGCATCGCTAGAAGCCACGTCGCGACCAAAGCATACCCGCATCGACCAAGCCAGCTCCGCCATCCCCGCAGCCACCTCAAGTGACCCTGCCAACATGATCAAGGTGAGCGCTCACAGCTAGCATCGATCCCACCAGCACCGGCTGACGCTGCCTGCACCCTCCGTGATGCTCTCCCCTCCCCTCACCGCCCCAGATCTGGAGCATGAAAAAGGAAGAGGAGTCGGCCAAGAAAAAGAAGCCAAAGACGTCTCCAGCACAGCTCAGAGTGCAGAAGGGTGAGCTACCCACCCATCCTCGTGGCTCTCTGGCCGCTCTTGCAACTCACCGCTCCTCGCTTCTTGCCCCGCCTGCCGCCCCACCAACCTCGGCCCCTTCTGCCGCTCTGCCTCTCAGACCTGACCGAGCTCGAACTACCAAAGACGATGCGCACCGACTTCCCTGACCCGGCAGACGTCCTCAACTTTACCCTCACCATCGAGCCCGACGAGGGTGAGTGCCGTCCAGCCGAGTTCCCCCGTCCCTGTCTGGCTGGCCGCTCTGACGCTGCCCTCCTCGCTCCGCAACGTCGCCCCCCGGCCCCCCATTACCAGGCATGTACAAGTCCGGCTCCTTCTGCTTCACCTTTGCCATTAACAACAACTACCCGCACGATCCGCCAAAAGTCAAGTGCACGCAGAAGGTGAGTCGGCCGGCGCCTTCCCTGCTCTGCTGGGCCACCGGGGTCACGACACTCACCTGCCATTTCCTCGTCGTCCTCTCTCCCTGTGCCTCGCCTCGCTTCACTCGCAGATCTACCACCCCAACGTCGACCTCGAAGGCAACGTCTGCCTCAACATCCTCCGGGAAGACTGGAAGCCCGTGCTCAACCTCAACTCGGTCATGGTCGGGCTCCAGTACCTCTTCCTCGAACCCAACGCCGACGATCCGCTAAACAAGGGTGAGTGGCGGGCCAGCGATTGTGTCTGAAGCCCGGCCTCGATGCTCGGCGAGGGAGTCCGCGGCTGACCTACGGCGTATCCCGCGCTACCCCTCGTCCCAACTCGCTCTTCTGCGCCCGTCGCATCCCGCAGAGGCGGCCGAGGACCTGCGAAAGGACCGCAGCCTCTTCTCGAGCAACGTCAAGAGGTCACTGGGCGGTGGAGCAATCAGTGAGTGCCCGATCGTGCCCCCCCCCCCCCTCCCCCCCCCCATCCCATCGCTCTCCAATCCGGTCCGTGCCAGCCAACTCACCCTCGTCCGTCTGCCTCCTCTCCTCGCTTTCCGGGCAACGTCTTTTCTGCGGCGCGCAGAGGGAGTCACGTACGACAAGGTGCTAGCAAAGTGACGCACGCACCTCCTTCGACCGACACCGCCAGCCCGTCTACCCTTGTCCGGTCACCTGGGAGCGTCTGATCGAAAGGGAAAAGACGGTATGCGACTCTCTAATGCGACTCGCTGTTTCCACCCTCGTCCTTTGCTCGACGCCGGAGACGCCACCCGGCTACGTCGACTGTGCTGCTCCCGTGGGCGTGAGCGGATGTTGCGAGTGGCGAGCGAAGAGACTGACGAGCAGAGCGGATCGAGGATACAGGGAGCGAGCACGAGCGAGCGAGCGATCCGGATGTGGTTGGTCGAGTCGGAAGCAAGGGGTGTGGTTGTCGATCCATGGCATGGTTTGGCATGCAGACGGTGAGGGTGAGGGTGAGGGGGAGGGGGAGGGGGAGGGTGGCGAGTGGGATCTATCTAGGCCTGAGTGGTGAGGTACGCCACCGACCTCTCCCTCTCGCACAAGATGCACAAGAGGAAGGAAGGGGCGGGGGAGTGGTTCCGATGCGATGCGATAGGGGGGGGGGGGGGGGGCACGCAGATGGCCATCATCAAGCCGACAAACCAGCCGACGAGGAAGCGGGGACGCCCAACCCCCTCCTAGCGAGGAGATCGCGCACGTCGCCAAGACCATCGAGCTGTCCCTGCGCGACGACAGTCGCCTGCCCGCTGCCGAGACCGTGGTTGAGGACGACGTTGGCCTTCTGCGGCCTCAGCACGCGCGTCGCGACGCGGTGCAGCACCTCGAGGTCGACGCGGTCGATGCGCTCGCACATTTCCTCGACCGAGACCTTTTTGCCGTGCGCCTGGATCTGCCGCCCCAGGTCCTCGACCTCGACCAGCCGGCTCTCGAGCGCCATGACCAGGCTGCTCTTGAGCTGGTTCTTGGCGCGCGCCAGCTCGGCCGCCGTCACGCTGCCCTGGTACAGCCCCGAGGTGCACAGCTCCAGCTCGCGCGCAATGACGTGCACGATGCTGCCGTTGAACGACGGGTGCACCGAGGCTGCGATGCCAAACAGGCCCGAGTCGGCGTAGCAGTGGTGGAAAGCGGCGCAGTAGTCGACGGCGTGGTGCTGGTTGAGCACGTTGGTGTACAGCCGGCTGTACATGCCCTTGCCCGGCCCGCCCGCGCTGAAGCTGCCGCCGCCGCCCAGCAGGATCTGCAGCGTGGCCAGCGCGTAGATGTCGTCGTCGTGGATCGAGAGGCCCTCAAAGGCCACGTAGACGTGCGTGAACTCGAGGTCGTCGCGCGGCAGGTACAGCTCGCCGCCCGTGTACTGCGCCTTGGCGCCCGCCAGCTCCGACGATGCCGATGCAGAGAGCGACGACACCTGCTGCGCCTTGCGAGACGCGGCCGTTGAAAAGTCGGCCGATCCGGACGACGACGATGCAGACGACGACGACGACGACGACGACGAGGGCGACGAGAAGAGCGACGACTGGCTGCTGCTGCCACTACTGCTCGCACTGCTGGTGCTGTTGCTGCGGGTGACGCTGCTGCGCGGGTTGGTGCTGCTGCTGCTGCTGCTGGCCGAGGGCTGGATGTGCCCAAACAGCTTCTCGCTCAGCTCAACGAGCTGCTCGTGGGGCATGCCGGCGCCGGCGACGACGATCCTGTCGGGAGTGTACCAGGTCTTCATAAAGTTGCGCAGGTTGTCGGCCGTCATGGCCTCGAGGCTCTCGATGGGGCAGAGGAGCGGGTTGCCCAGCGTGTTGCCCGAATAGGCGACCGTGTGAAGCAGCTCGGGCAGGATCATCTCGGGCTTGTTCCAGATCTCGGAGATTTCGTAGGCCGCCGCCTCGCGCTGTACGTCGAGCTCCTGCGGCGAGAGGAGCGGGTTGAGAATCGTGTCGGCCAGGATCGAGAGGACAGCGGGGACGTCCTTGTTGAACACCGACGACTGGTACATGATCGTCTCGCGCGACGACGAGCACATGACGTTGCCGCCGAGCGCTTCGATCTCGGACGTCATTTGGTCTGATGTCCGATTCGTGGTGCTCTGTCGAAGGCGCGCAGGAGGACAAGCAGGGTCGAGTAGATGGAAGAGGGGGGGTAGGGTGAAGACAGGAGGGGACCGCTGGTCAGCTATCTTGAGCTCGCCCGTTACTAGCCCGTGCCACCTGAAACCACCGCCACTGCGACTCACCTTGAACGCCATACGGTCGAGGAGGTGGCTGACGCCGCTCTCGCCGGGCACCCAGGCCCTCTCGAGCCGCGAGCCAGTGTCGACGTAGACGCCGACGGCCGAGAAGTGGCCGGGCGTCGCCTCGGTAGCAACGCGGACCTTGTTGGGGAGAGTCGTGACATCAATGAGCGCAGAAGTGGGGATGACCGACGACTGGTTGAAGCCGGCTGATTGGCTGCCGAGCGTAGACAGGCCCCGGGACTGTAGCTGGCTCAGCAGTGATGAGGTGTGCGATGGGCGAGATGTCCCGACGCTGCTGGTACTGGTGCTGGTGCTGATGCTGCTGTTGGATCTTGCTGACGGTGTCCCTTGCGCCGGATGGGAGGAGAAAGATGCGTGTGTCGATGCTGACTGGGAAGGACTCCGTAGTGCTAGGCTCGAGGCGGTCTTGGGCTGGGACGAGATTTGCCGTGCTAGCGATGGTGTGGCGGCGGCAGCGACGGTGGGTGCCTTTGCTCTTGCGAGATGCCTTGCGGCGGCCGATGTGGTTGATGTCAATGCTGTCAGCCTCATTGCAGATGATGCGAGTATTGAATAGACCTGCGTAGGGGGTCTGGGGAGATGGAGGGGAGTTGGAAGAGCAGCCAAGGCGGTGGTGGCGAGCAGAGAGGAAGGCGTGGAGGGAGTGCACCCTGCCTGCCTGGTTCTCTCTGCCTGCACGTCGGTTTGCGCCCAACGCCGCCCGGACTCGCCCTCGGCCTTCAGTGAGCTTCTCCCGACTTCCGACTGGCGCGGCGTCGTGGCGGCCAGGAGGCCAGACACGATCACGCAGGCTGGCAGGCAGGCCAGGCAGTGCGGAACACTCTCTCGGCCGACAACCCGCTCCTTGCCCTCCCTCTCTCGCCCCCCGAGCCCATCATGCCCACCGCCGAGTCGCATCTCTCTCGTGCTCCTGTATGGGCATGCAATCGACCAGGTGAGTAGCGGGGGCTCGAACCCACCTCTGTACGCTTGCCACCTCACACTCCACAAGCTCTTTGAGCGACAAGCGATCAGGCGGCCATGGACAGTACAGGCCGAGACGATTACGCCACAATTTAGAAGCGTCTTTTTGGCATCGTCTCCGCAACTCGCTCGCCGCGACATCTGGCATCGCGCTTCGTCCTCTCACCAAGCGCCAGCCATTCGAGAACAACCAGGATGCTGAGTTCAGCTGGCTCTGCACAGGGCACGAGTTCGACGATGGAGGTCGGGTCCCCGCATCGGGTCCCCGACAGAGATGCAGTACACGGAGAGGTATCGACGGGAAGAACATGCTGCGGACTACAAGCAGAGAAGCAGGGAATGAAGGAAACACAGCGAGAGAGTGTGGATGGGGCTTGTGTGGGTGGCAGGATGCTGCTGGGACCGGGGCAAGGAGGGGTAGGGTCAAGGTTATGCAGAAAGAGTGTGGCAGTATGCGTTGCGCCGGCCAAGGCTCGAAGCGGGGCCATGGCGCCCGTCGAGAAATGGTGGCAGCAGCAGCACCCGGAAGCAGAGCAAGAGGGCGGCAAGGGAGCGAGAGAGAGTGTGTGTTTGCGAGAGAGTAGGAGAGAGAGAGAGCGTGGTGGCCGAGTGAGGCCGGGACAGGAAGCGAAAGTGTCTGTGGGAGGGTGCCGCGAGGCGGGCGAGCGCGACGGAGACGAAGCCACCGCCCAATGGGTGGCTTTCGTCGAGGCGTGGGCAGGGGATGCTGGAAACAGAGGCCCTTCTCCGAGGAGCCGGAATGCGATGGAAGCACAAGAGACGAGAGGGAAGCCGGACCGCGACGATGGGGACGGCCAAGGCCATCACCAGTGCGGGTAGAGCTGGAACGGCCGCCACTCCTCGGCGTGGTCCCAGTAGGGCCTGCGCAGGATGCGCTCGCCGTCGGCGTCCGTGTCCCACTCGTCGGGGCTGCCAACGGGGATGATCTCGCCGTACGACAGCTTGCGGCGGATGACGCTCTCGTCGATCGGCTTAGCCCGGAGCGCCGACGAATACGAGGGGCCAGCTGCGACGGCAGCGGCGCCGGCGTCAAACGAGGGTCGCTGGCTGCCAGCGAAGCCGCCAAAGTCGAAGTCTTCGCGCGGCACGACGGGCGTGCTGAGGACCGAGGTGCACACCGAGCCGGCATCGCTGAGCGAGTCGTCGTGGTCAAAGAGCGAGGCCTTGGATCCGTCGCTGAGCGAGCTGATGTTGGAGCTGTAGGAGCGCATGCGGCGGTACCGGCTGCCCACGTAGGCGGGCGAGCGCTGGCACATCCACTTGACGTTGTCGTCGATGACAGTGATGCGGCCCGCCAGGTCCTCGGCCTCGACCTTGGCCTTGCGGTAGACGACGTGCTGGCAGACGGGGTACATTTCAAAGCGCTTGTCGTCGGCGCCCACGTTGCGGAACCACTTGAGCGTGGCGGGGATGTCGACGACGCGGTCCTGCGAGCCCATCTGGACGTAGGACGGGTGCTTGATCGTCGACGCGGCGGCGTTGATGGCCACCATGGCCTCGTCGATGCAAAACAGGTGCCCGATGCGGAACGCGCCCTGGTGGCTGCGCTTGTCCTGGTTGATGAGGGCGTCGTACACCTTTGGGTCCCGGTCGACCGACTTCTTGTGCGGCACCATGAGCTCGAACCGGCCCATGCGGAAGATCCTCTCGGCGATCCAGGCACCGACGCGGAGCCCCTTGGAGATGGGCACGTACCGCAGGTTGTGGTTGACGACGGGGCCGACTCCGATGATGCCGTCGATGGGGATCTCGTCGGGATCGCTCTCGTCCTCGCGCAGCGACGCCGGGTAGTGGACGGCGTAGGAAAAGGCGACCAGACCGCCAAACGACAGCCCGAGCATGAACGTCTTGCGCCTCTCGGTCTTGGTCAGCTTGAAGCCAGGCCCGACCTCGGCGTCGTCGCGCCGCGCAACGTCGTGCAGGACGGCTCGGAGGCCCGCCGTATAGCCAGACATGTGCCGTTGGTAGACGTGGATTCCAGACGAGTAGCCGTGCGAGGGCAGGTCCGGGACCAGGAGTCGGAAGCCGGAATCGAGGTAGCGGCGGCACTGGCTTGCGAGCGTTCCAGAGTGGACTCCCGTTCCGTGGCTGGCAGAGGGGAGGTGGTCGAGCAGGCAGGCGTGCAAGTCAGAAAGGATCGATCAAACGGAGCTGGGCCACGGGCACCAGCACCAAAGACAACCAGGCAAGGGCAGGGCCAGGCGACGCTCGACGCGTCCCTTTTGTTGCTGCGGATCCAGCGCTACTCACACAAAGATCATGTCTGCGCGCCTTCCGGTCATCTGCATCGCAGCGGGGTCCTGCCAGACCTGGTACCAGACCCAGTCCTTTCCGTTGGGCATCATGACCTTGTGGAACTGCACGTCGATCCCGGGGTTCTCGTAGAGGCGCTTCTCCATGGGCGAAAAGGGGATCGACCATCGCCCGTACGAACGGTCTTGAGGCTCATAGGCTCCGATCGCCGTGGCAAAGGGCTCGCCCCAGACGTCCCAGATGAGGCTTGCAACTCGAGAGAGCGACAGCATCGTTGCTGGCTGTGGTGGTGGTGGTGGTGGTGCTGGTGTACGGGGAGGGGTTCGTACGGAGCGGCACAGCGATCTTCAAATGGCTTGAGCTTCTAGCCAGCCGTGGGTGGTATATGAGGGGGGGGGGATTGTGTGCGCGTGGAGTGGTTGTCCGATGGCGGGGGAGCGCTTGCGCTTGCCTGTGATGGGGAGGAGTGCTGGTCTACGGCTTGATGACGGCTCGAAGCTCCCGACCTGGCGGTATCTTATACCTTTAAGCAGGTAGCGCTTGGATTCGCGAGATAGAAAGGCAATGCACGTCTTCAGCCGAAGGACGAGCGGCTGCAGTAGACTTCTTGCCGCTTGGGAGCGCTGCAGAGAAAGACCGTGTTCCTGTTCTCGATTCCCCATCCAAGCTTCAAGCGAACGAAGTGTCGACGGCGGCACGGTGCGCAGCGGTTGCGTAGATGCCGTGATACGATTGGCGAACAGAAGGAGGAGCCGGAAGGCTGGGTGCGTTGCCAAGGAGGTGCAGTGGCGGATGTCGGAGCGGCAGGTGTCTGAGATCGGTTTCGCTCGGGCCCAGCAAGCGAGATCGATTCGAGGCAGACCGGAAGGGGGAGAAGGGAGCCGGGCGGACAAAGAGAGCGTGGTGAAGCGCGAAGAGACAGTAGGTTGCGAAGGCCAGAGTGGAAGGCCGCGGCGGAGTCAAGCTGGTGGACAGGGGAAAGAGGCGTGTGAGAGAGGGAGAGGAGGGGGTGGACGAGGAGGAGAGGGAGAGGGAGAGGACAAGGAAGGACACACGGGACGGAGGACAGAATGGTGGTGGCGGAAGGCACCAATCAAGCCGGGGCAGGCCAAGGTCAATGGCAGGCAACGAGCGTCGCCGACTGCCTCCGCCGCTGCGGTTTACTGTAGCTCGGCAGCCATCCATGAGACTACGATTGGAACCATCTTCATTGATTGCGCTCTACTTGCAGTTCGCTTGCCGGCCGGTCTCGGCGCCGCCCGTCTAGGATTAGGATGATCCCCTCCAGATCAGCCGAAACCTGTGTATGTATGACACCTAGGGTACCTTGAAGACGATGCTGTCCTGAGGCAGCGGGAGGAGTCAAAGTGTCAGCCAAGATCGCAGAGCGGGAGAGGGCCAGTTGACAGCATCGAAGTGGCGCTGTTGTGTCAGGATACGAGGTGCCCTGGAAACTCTGCGAGGGAACCCATCTGCACCCCGTCTGTCCTGACTGCCGCCCTGTAGCTACGACGGACGGCTCTCCGCCCCGCCTTGCTCCGTACGTGCGTGGAGCGCGAAAGCGACGGAGCGGCTAGGATGGCCAAGGCAACGCGCCGATACTTACTCACGTTGCGAGACCAGGCGCCCGGCACATGCTGAAGCTCCTGCGCCGACTCGCAAGCACGGTGCGTCCTGGACCTTAGCCCCCCCCTTGGCTGCGAAGCTAGTGCAGCCCCTGTAGCATCGTGGGCGTCCTCCAAGGGGATGGGCAAATTTAGCTCACAGCTGCCTCGCAGGCGCCGAGGGGGGGAGGCAACGGGCTGGCCTTCAGCACGGCCAGTGCGTCTGCCTGGACATAGCGAGGGCAGGGTTGACCGACGCTCTAAGCTGGACTCTGCGCCGACGCATTGTCTTGCTTTGGGTCGCCAGCGGCCAGCGGCGGCGAGGATCGCAGCAGCGGGCAGGAAGCGTGTAGGAGTCTAAGAGTAGCAGCCTCAACTTTCCCATCGATGTGCCGAGACTGGGGAGGCTCTCTGGGCGCCAGACCGACGAGGTGCAGACGGCTGGGCGGGCGTGCTGGACCTTGGCCTTCGACGAGAGGATCGCGGCTGATGTCGGTGTGCGGCTCAAGCTGTGGAACGACGACGGGCGATGTTTGGCTCGAGCTCTGACCATCCGGAATCTGGACATAGAGGGGAATGAGGGGAGGGGCACAAGGGGCCCAGGCCGAGGAGCGCAGGAGGGCGGCGGACAGAATCCAGGTGTAGTACGTGTGACGGGACAGGTCAAAGAGAAGCGCCTGGCTGCTGCCGCCGCAGCTCTTGACACGCAGCCGAAGGAGCGCGCTCCTGCCTCAGCCTGCCAGTCGGCACGCCAGGGGTCGAGACGTCGATGCCGGGAGTGCGACACACCCACCTCCAGATGCCTTTGGACCAAATACAGTAGCTGCTCCTGCGTCTGCGGTTGGCCCCGACGCTCGCTACCGCTGCAGGCGGTGCAGTGAGCGAGCACGCTCTCTGCCGCCGTTTGGAGACGAAACTGCAAGCAAGAAAAGAGAGGAGGGTCTGATTGATCGTCTGAGACGAGACGGTCGTCGCGCCCTCCCGGACACTACATCTGCGACCGTACATATCCACCACCCTGCCTGCCGACGGCGGCCGCACGTTGGCTTCAGACAAGGTCTTGGTTGGCCAGGCCAAGAAAGCAAGCAAGCAAGGGCTGCGGACCCCCTTGGTCATCGATGCGAGTCACTTGGTACGGGGGGTCAACGATCTGCCGTCGCGGTCCGTGTCAGCCCCGTGCAAATAGATCGGCAGGCGGGGGAGCAGCCAGCAGGCGCCTGCTGCCTGGAATGTCGTTGACAGCTGCAGGCCGCGCTGCGAAATGCGTTGCGCTGGCGAGCGGGGCGTACGCTTTGCCAGCCTGCCAAGCTGAGCTTTGAGGTGCGCGCCAGGCCTGACCTGTCCAGCAGCGCTACGTCGCTTGGGCGTCGCCTTGACACGTCCGCCCAAGCAGATCGGCCAGCTGTACGCAAAATGATTTTTTTTCTTCCCCTGCACATCTCGGAGACTTATGGGGATATGCAGCGTGTACGTAGGCTTTGCCGCCTGAGATTCCTGCGCGGCCTGCGGCTGTCGGTGCGGATCAGCTGCGCGGGATCGCCCTTGCTTCTGGCGCAACCGGCCGCCGTGCTGCAGTGCCCGCAACGCCCATCGCCGACGGAGGTGCGGCTGGCTGGCATGGACGCACCGTCCCAGCAAGATCACGGACACTACTCCCCCTCAGCTGGTGCCGGACCCCAAGCAGAGCACCGGCTCACCTGCAGCAAACGAGGATGTGGGGAAACGGGCGCCCACCTTGCTGCCCCTGCCGCTCGCGAGCCTTGCTGCCAGCCTACGCTACGGTCGCCTTGCCAGGCCTACAGCACAACGGCAAACGACGGCAGCGCGGAAAAGGCCTGCCTGCCTGCAACGTCGACGACAACCCGAACTTCCGGGTCCGGGGCCGGGGCGGCTGCCCCTCAAGCATTCTCCGGCATCAGGCCTTCGGCGCGTCGTCTGCCTCTGCCCCTCCCAAGATCAAACCCTCATGGCAGCGACTAGAGCCATATACGTTCAAAGTACCTAAATCGTACGTCGTCGCTGTCCGTGGTCGAGATCGAGAAGTCACCCTACCTGTCCCCGGTGGCTCGAGGGATGTGCAGCAGCGTGGGCCGTCGCCGCTGCGGTTCCGACTCACTTCCTTCGTCTCAATTTAAACGGGTAAACGACGCTAGTCTGGTCCTTAGCTCGAAAGTCGACATGGACTGCCATCAAAATCTATTCGTCTGAGAAAATATCTCTTCAGTACGTACTGCACCACGCTTTGCGCGTCCTTCGAGTTCTTCTCCCGATCACGACCGGTATCGGTACCCTCTCTTGCTCGCCCTGCCATGAGAGGCTTTTCGCCTCCGTTCGTCGATCGCGGCAGATTACCGAGTCCGCGGCTTCCATCATCGTAGAGCGCTTCGGTCGGGTCGGGTCGGTCGCTCGGTTCGAGGAGCGACCGAGCTGCCTTGAATCTTCGCTACCGTTGCTCGGAGCCGTCCTAGACACCAGCGGAAGCGAAGGCGCAAAGGCTGAAACCCCGACCGCCCTCCCCTGCTGACGTTGCCCCACTCTGTAGAAAGGCATGAGCATACCGACAGGTTGCGAGAGTGGCAGAAAACGGCGCGAAGGTCCGGCCTCGTCAAGATGCTCTGCAATGTGGCGTCGATCGTGCGCGGGGCGGAATCTGCAAAGGGTCGAGGAGAGTGACGTCGATGCAGGCGCGGGACGGAACGGATGCATAGGGCCTCTGGTTCTGTCACCGGTACCATCTACTGTAAATTGCTGGAGTACTTTGGGCCCGAAGGCAACGGCAGACCTGATCTGCCTCGCTCCAAAGCCACCGCTACCGCTGCCGCTGCCGCCACCGTCGCCACCGTTGCCGCCGTTGCCGCCGTTGCCGCCAAGCAAGCGATGCCCATCTGTGTCAACTCGAGATTTAGGCGGCATCGGAAGCCTCAAATCTTCCGCACCCACAACGATTTTCCACTCGGCGCAAGCCAGCTCGCGGCGCAGCTCAGGCTGCCCAGGTTCGCCTGGAAGCGACTCTAACAAGAGCCTGTGCTTAAGTACCTCAAATCACGGCGTTCCGGCATCATCGCGAACGGGGCAGGGTTGTTGGCGCACCGAGCGGGAGCGGCCTGCCAAGACTCAAATTTACCAGATAAGTAGGAACCGGGAGCAACGGAGGCCGACGAGCGAGAAGTCTCTCTTGTGCGCCGTACTAAGTACCGTATGGTCGCTCCCGTCTTTGCCGGGCCTATGGAACAGTATCCGTACCGGCAGCTGGCCACCTTGAGACGTTCGGTGATCCTCAAGGAAGCCCAGACGAGCTAGTGCCGCCTGTGACGGGACATATTGAGGGCAGGACCAGACTGTGAGACTTGGAGGGCACAAACTGTATGTACAAGTTTCGCAGCGCGGAACAAGTCCCGGTTCCGGCAGGAAGCGTGGGCTCGGCCGTGCTCGTGGGCGATGACCAGTCACTGATGCCAGCGAGCCGGGCGAATGAGGGCGAGCCTGCTGGGCGCACGGCTTTTCAGAGGGCGCAATGATCTAAAAGGCTTAGAAGGCGTGCTAGTCTTAGAGTGGCTCCTGCCCCATGGAGCCACGCGTCCTGCGGTTGCCCACCGCTCGTCGTTTAGCCTGTTTGATGGTCCGTACTTCCTAGAGCTAAGGTGGCAGCCATGCCGAAACACACCAGTTTCTTGCTATCTCCCATCCAACTGTGTGTCGAGATGCTCGACCGGTATCGAGCTTCTCCCGATCGTCTGGGCCATCGCCACGAGCGGCCTCTGCTCGCCGTCAATCCCGTCCTGAGACTGAGCACCGGTCCTCTTGGGTGACCAGCAGGAACGCGAACGAACGTGAAGACGTTAAGGAAGGCTGCCGGCTCTTCCCAACGTGCTACACTGTGCATGATCAGCTCTCTAGACCCGGTCGAGGAAAGGCGTGTTCGTGTGATGCACGCTGCTGCACAGCGACACACCTAGTGCTGTGGCTTTGTTCGGACAACCTTCCACCGGGTCCGCAGGCGAGGCGTCTCAGAGCAAGGCTGTGTGTCTTTGTCGACGCTTGTCGCGCTCGCCTGCCTGTACTTGAACCGCAAAGGCTCGCCCGGTCGCGGCCGCTCGGTCTGGTGCCTCGTTCCCAGAAGTAGCGCCGATGAACGCCACCGCCGCCTTCGTTGTCACCGCGACGGCCTCCTGGCGATAAACAGGCTAGGCTCCCGCAAGCTCGGTCCCCTGTGCGTGGTGACGTCGAGGCAATCCTCCCCCCTCGGAGAGCAAAGCACTGTCTGGCGTCCGTACTGGCGCCGCCCTCTTCGCATGCCGCGCGAGGTCAGGTGGGAGGGGCCAGTGCCCTTTGGCGTTGGAGGCGCAAACAAGCTCCTAGCCTGTTTCTATACCGATAGCGCGGATCTCATGCTTTTTTTCGTGCCGAGGCTGGTGGGCAAACAGGCCTGGCAAGCCACCTGCAGCACCTGCCTGCAGGCCAGCCAGGCTGAAGCGAGCATGCAAGTCGACGGCCTGGGGTTGGCCGTGGCCGGACTCTTTTCTTAGTTATTCTTCTTTCTGCGTCGACTTGCGTGCTCGGGGAAAGTGTGAAAGTTTCATGGGCCGACGCAAAGCACGGGGGACCCTGCAGATGCCTCGTCCTGGCAGGTCGCGTTCCACGGCAGGCGGGTGCGCAGCAGAGATGTGGCGCGCATCCATCGTGGTTCCTCCTTCCGCTTACCTTGCTTGGTCCTCCTGGCCTCGTACAGTTACCCCCCTCTTCCCGTTGCCCTCGCTCTTCGAGCCCCCTGGCCGCGGCGGGGTTGCCAGAGACAGGCTCTCCCTGTCCATTCCAAGCGCTGTTCGGCCAGATCGAGCCTGACTGCGCACCTGGAGGGCGTGCTACGGCATCTATTCCCGTGGCAAGGGGCAGCGCGAGCCACGCAAGGCAGAGCCCCTCCGTCTCCCCTGCCCGCAAGACCAGCTGATCATGGCGTTGAGGAGCCCCAAATAGCCACAAACCAGCCTGCCGCCCTCGCGCCGCCAAGATGCCCTTTGCCCCTGTTGTATGAACATACCTGACTGCTGGACTGTGCTGGACTCTGTACTCTGTCGTCTGTACGTGTACATCCACGACAACAGCAGCACACGGCCTGCGGGGATCAGGTCAATTCTCTGACGGCAGTTTCGGTCAGACGGTCGCCCTAGGCTTGCCATCGGTACCCATACATACATCGCGTTGCCAACGCCTCGAAGCGAGCAACAAGAAGTGCCGAGGTCTTCTTCGATGGCCGCAGGGGAGGGGCTCATCGACAGAGGTATGGCCGGTGGTGCCGGTGCCACTTCCCACCACGCCTGAGAACTGTGTCCAACGAACATCAAGGCGCTCGGACAGTTCTAGGGATGCATCGCCGACGCAGAGTGCAGCGATGGCTTCGAACCGGCGAAGTCGTTGGTCGCTGTGCAGAGGGAGGGTGGCATAGGATGCTCGAGAGCCACTGCTCCAATTAGTGCGACAATTTGCGCTGGGCCAAATTGATGTCTTGATTGCTTTAGCGGCCGACAATACAGCATGTACATACAACGAAGGCCCACCCGGCGCTGGTTACCCTCCCGTCCCTATCTGTCCCCCTCGTCCACCTCTTCCTGCCTCTGGCCGCCGCTCCCCTGTCCCTCCCTGCCGCACGCCCTCAGCAGATCCTCGAGAAGAGTCTGGCACCGGTCCCTGTTCGGGCCCTCCATTTTTGCCGAAACCGCTTGCCTTCGAGCGCGGCCTGTCCTCCTACTCCTCGTTCCGCTCGGTCCCCGTCGCGGCAAGAAGCCAGGCTGCCCTCTTGCCATCACCATCCCATTCATCCCCTTTCACACCAACGCAGCCGCCGCCGCACCAATCCCTATCCCTTCGTCGGCCATTTCGGCCAACCTCTGACGGCATCAGGCCACCCACCTGCTTTCGCTGCCATCCCAAAGTGGCCTTGGGCGGACCTGCCCTATCCCGGCGCGTCACCGTACCTAGCTGCGACCGTCACCAGTTTGCGCTTCCCCCACCGCAGAAGCATCTCCCCCTGAGGTCAGCTGCGCTGAGACCAGAACCTACGGCGCCGACGGTAGTCCACACCATTGTCATCGCCGCTGCCGCCCCCACTGCCGAAGTCGCTTCCGTCCGCTAGCCACCGATCCGCCGTCTCTCCGAAACCTTCCGTCGCCGTTGGCTTCTGCGTCTGATCCGCACAACGCCAGTGTCTCGAACACCAAGCTCACCACGACGGCGCAATCAAAGACACCCTTCCGCGCACCTGCTGCATCCAGACCGGCACCGTACTACTGTAGCGGACAATACCAGGTACGCTGCGCAGCTCTCCAACTCTTCTGCCGGCAAGCTGCACTAGGCACGGCTTCAACCATGGGAGAATCCAACCGGCGCGACCAGGACGGCTTGGCGAACAATGCCAAGGGCGGCTCACGCCAGGCTGAGGGAATCTTTGACTCGGATCAGTCGATGCGCAGCGATGCCACGCTCATCCAGTCACTGCACAAGTCGTTTGACGATTCAACGAGCACCGTCGTCGCTGCAGAGGAGGCCGGCTCGTCGTTTGTCGGCGTCGAGCCATATCGCCAGCCCGCCAGCGAAGCCATTCTCTGCGGTTCACCCGGCCAGGCAGGCTATAGCATCGCCGTCGGCACAGCGTCCTATGAGCTCTACCAGCCTACGCCACGCCCCGGAACCAGCTTCTCTCAAAACACCGACGACCACTTCCAAAACGTCCACCTCGCCCCCCACTCGCCAGCCCTTTCCGACACCACCTTCCGCGAAGTCACCTCGTCCGCTCTCGGACACAGCACATACCCGCTCACGCAACTCACAAGGGGAACCGGTCCCAAGATGGATACGCCAAGGAGCGCAGCCGCGCAGAGCGGCTTCAACACCTCGAGCACCGCGACGCTGGCGTCAGCCGACGGTGCACACAACGGTGGCCGGAAGAAGGACTGGAGATTCTGGATGATCTTTGGTTCGCTGATGGTCGTCTGCATCCTCACAGGTGAGCGGAGCGGCATGCTGATGATATCTGTCACGGCGACAGGGTGGCGGCACGAAAGTAGCATCGCTGACCTAGAAGCACCATTACCCCCTCTCCTCCCGCGGCGGCCCTTGGGACGATACGGCAGCACTCGACATGGTGAGCGACCGTGGCAGCCCATGTTCTGAAGGCAGGAGAGCACACAGACTGACGCTACGCGCCCTCGCTCCGACTTTCCACGCCCCCGCCACCGATCCCCCCGTGATGACAGACTATGATCTCGACGGCGCTACCTGGCATCGTACGCGACCTGCCCGTCTCCGACATTTCCGGGACGTGGATCACTTCGTCCTACCTCTTGACGATGACGGCCTCACAGCCCGCCTTTGGCGGTCTGTCCTGCGTCGCTGGCCGGCGCTGGAGCATCACCCTCGCCGTCTTGATCTTCCTCGCCGGCAGCGTCGGCTGCGCGCTGGCGCCGAGCATGTTCGGGCTGGCCGTCGCACGGGGCCTTCAGGGCCTCGGGGGCGGCGGCATCCAGGCTCTCTGCGAGATCATCGCGTCGGACCTGACGACGCTCAAAGAGCGTGGCTTCTTCGTCGGTCTCGTCGGCCTCGTCTTTGCCGTCGCTTCGTTCGTCGCGCCCGTCCTGGGCGGCATCTTCAGCTCCTCGAACTGGAGGTGGATCTTTTGGATTAAGTGAGTGGCCGCCACCCTTTCCACCGGAGAGCAAGAGAGGCTGTGAAGCTTCTGGATCGTGGCAGGCAGCACAGAGGCTGACGATCCTTCTCTTCTCCCCAAACGTCGCGCCGTACGCTCCCTGCAGCCTCCCGATTGGCTTTGTCTCGCTGCTCATGATTGTCCCCTTCATGAAGCTAACGACGCCCAAGATGACGATGCGCGAAAAGTTCGAGCGGATGGACCTCTTTGGCAACACGATCCTGTTTGGCTCCGTCGTTGGCATCCTCGTCGGCACCACCGACGGCGGCATCACGCGTCCCTGGAGCGACTGGGAAGTCTGGCTGCCGCTCGCGCTGGGAGTTGTTGGCTTCTTCGTCTTCCTGGCCGTCGAGTTCATCCCGAACCCGTTGTGCCGCGCGCCCATCCTGCCGCTCAGGCTCTTCAGCAACAGGACGGCGGCCTCTGCGTTCTTCCAGACCTTTGTCCACGGCATCGTCACCTATGGCGCCATCTACATCCTGCCCATCTTCTTCCAGGCGATCAAGGACGACAGCCCGCTGCGCTCGGCCATCAACACCTTCCCGGCGACGGCGCCGGGAGCTCCCTTTGCCATCATCGCCGGCATCGCCATGGCGGTGACGGGCAAGTACAAGAGCAGCCTCTTCATCGGCTGGGCCATCATCTGCATCGGCGGGGGCTGGCTGACCCGGTACCAGGTCGACACGCCCACATGGGAGCTCTACGCTTCCGAGTGCCTTGCTGGCGTCGGCGTGGGAACGCTGTTCGCCATCACCCTGCCGCCGATCCAGGCTTCCCTGCCCGACTCGGAGCTCGAGCTTGCCACGGCAACGTACGCCTTTTGCCGCAGCTTCGGCTCCATCTGGGGCATCGCCGTCGCCACCACCATCTTTACGTCGTCGGTGGCCAGGAACCTCGAGAAAGTCCCCGAGGCGGCTCAATTCGGCCTGACGGGACGCACCGCGCTCGGCTTCGTCGAGGAGATTAAGCACCTTCCAGAGCCCATCCGAGAGCCCATCCGCCGCATCTTTGCCGACGGCCTGCAGGACGCCATGTGGCTCTTCCTGCCCCTCGGCCTGATCGGCTTCATCTCGTGCTTCTTTATCGAGGAGCTGCCGCTGCCCGACTTCATCCGCTCCCAGATCGACATCGAGGAGACCAAGCCGGCCAAGGACAAGGCCGGTCGGCATGCCGGCGACGAAAACCTTTCGATCGTCGAGATGGGCTTCGATTCGACCAGCCCCACGCTTCGGCACAAGCCCAGCACGCTCGACGACGGCCCAGTCTCGCCAGGTTGGTGCCAGACCAGGGAAAAGGAGCCCCGGTCGACGGCAAACGACGCATACCCGTACCCGGGCCAGTCCGACTTGCAGGGCTGCTCGTCGTTCGTCGCGGCGCACGCCGTCCGATTCGCCGACACCTATGACTCAGAGGGACCCACGGTGGCACATTCCGACGTCGACGAAGACAGCAAGACGTCGCGAGGCTCGTTCGACGACGCCTACCGCAAGTAGCCTTGCCTAGATGGGCCGCGTCCCGCTGTTTCTCTGCTGCTGTATCGTTCCGTCACTCGTCCTCGTCCTCTCGTTGCCTCCTAGAGCGCCGCGCCGCGCTACCTCTTCGAGTCCTGACTCGAGCCCACAATCTCTCGATGCCGCATTGCAATCCTGTCTTGTCGCCCTCCCGCTCCGTCGGTGCAGCCGCTCATTCTGTATACTACGCTCTCTTGAACCCCAACAGCCCCCTACAGCTGTACCACACCGCATCCTTACTGTCCGTCCTGACTGAAACAGAACCATTCATTGATCTGCATCCCGCCGCTGACGTCAAAGGTCTCGTTGCTGGATGCCGCTTTGCACCAACTGGCCAGTGAGCCGAGGAGGCGGTGGGAAAGCTCGGCACGTCGACCAGCGAGGCAGAAAGGGTAACTTATGGGTGAGCCCGGGTCGAGGCGCTAGAGAGTCCCAACGAACATGCATGCGGACCTTGGACAGCTCGTGGTCGGCCTTGAGGTCTACGAGGATCGCGAGGTCCATTGACATGACCGTCCACTTGTTCTCTATCCCTCTACAGTAGCGAGCGTCTGAAGCATGCACCCAGAGTAATGGTATCGCGAACGAGCGGCGTAAGCTGGGGGTACGACGCTTTGCGTCGACTCGTCCCGCACCAACTCGTCTTCCACCCTGTGCCAGAAGGACAAACGCTATCAAACTCCGACCGGTCCGCTACCGAGAGAAGGATAATGGTGGCGGCTCGGCAGACTTCGTTCAATGGTCCTTGGCGAGCTTGTCTTTCTGCAAGCCCCTCATCCCGCGAACGCGAACGAAGCAAGTGAAGGTGGCGGTGACGTCGAAGCGATCCTCAACTCCGAGCGAGGCGGTACAGTGTACTGGTAGGAACCGCCGCATGCTGGCTGTTGATCTTCCCGACTCTTCTCTTTCTCTTTTCTCCCGTCGGAAGAATAGACATTCACATGCATGCACCAGAGCGCGGAAGGCAAAGAACTCGCCGACCTCGTCGCGTATTCGACCGAGTCTTCTTTCCCCCGCACCCCGCACTTTCGCACCCCGCACTGCTCCGCACCGCCGGTTCCCAGCTTGTCTCCTCGCCTTCTTGACGAGAGGCTGCGTCCATGCGTCTTTAGAGTCGAGTGCCATCAAAGAAACCTCTCCATCTACGCCCGGCTGTTCGACTCGAACGACGGTGTTCCGTCGGCCTTTTGCATGGCTCTCTAGCGAGGCCATCGCATCCCTGGTCGTACAGTACGATCGACATCCTCCGACGTAGAGATGCTGAACCGAGAGCCAGACGTACGCCCAGCTGTACGCCCGTTCTCGCTGCACCTCGTCGACGATGCACTAAAGTGCGGGGTAACAGCACGCTGCCGCACTTCCGGGTAGGGGTAAGGGTGGGGGGGGGGGGGGGGGTCTTGGGCTGCTTATTGCTACGGAGTCGGGACGTCTGGACGGTCGCCTGGCCTGGCCTTCGCTCCACGGGCATGGCCAAAGTGATGAGCTAGACTAGACCAGGGCAGCCACCTGCCAAGCATCTCGTTTGCTTTCACGCGGCCGTCACGACACCGCTTGCTTGCGATGATATCACATCGTGCGTGCATCAAAGCGTCCGAGGTGATCCGACGACAGGCGAGAGTCGAGCAGGCTTTCACGTTCAAGACTGGAGAGCGGGGGGTGGGAAGCCCTTGCCTGGCTGGGCTGGCTGGCTGGCTGGCTGGCTGGGTGGGTGGGCTGCATTGCCTCATCTACCGTACGATTCACAATCGACAGCGAGAAGCGGGGGCTGGCTAGGCAAGGCAGGGCAGGCTACGACGAGGCCGTGGCGTTGCGCTGCGAGATCGGGGCGAGGCCGATGGTGTTGGTCTTTGCGTTGGTGGCAAAGTAGACGTTCTTGAGGAACGCGGCGCCGACGAGCCACTCGTTTTTGCCGCCGACGTCGCCGGCCGAGACGGCGCTGACGCAGTCGCCCAGCAGGTCGTCGGCGTCGACGGGCAGGAAGATGAGGTCGCGCGGGTCGATGCCAAACTCGCGGCCGCCAAACGTCAGCGACACGGACGCCGTCGTCGTGCACGGGATGGTGTAGCCGCCCTGACCATCGGGCTTGCTGCCCTCGATGGCGGCGTGGAGCGCATCGGCGTCGCTCTGGGGCGCCACGATCAACGAGGTTCCGGTATCCAGGATGGCGGTCCTTCCGTCCATTCCCAGATCCTTTCCACCGAAACTGATCCGGTCGATCGGCGCCTCCCAGAAGCCCTCGGTCGAGACGTTGTCGACCTCGGTGAGCGAGCCTTCAAACTTGAACGGGTCCACGCCGCCAAAGGTCACCTCGCCGTCGTTGTACCCGTCCGAGACGCGGCCGAGGTGGTAGCCCATGACGGGCACGTCGACCAGCCCGGCCTTGTAGAGCGCATCGATGGGCGTCGGCACGCCCGCGTTGCTCAACTCCGTCTTGGCCAGCCCAATCAGGCCCTCGAACGGCACGTCGTCGCCGCTAAAGTCGTCCGACTCCTTTTCGGCCAGCCCAAACGTGTGCTGCGGCAGCGTCATGCCGGCCACCGTCAGGCTGTCCTCGGCCAGCTTGCCCTGCACGTCGCCCGTGCCATAGACGATCGAGAACTTGGTGTCAATCTCGCGGAACGTCGTCGACGTCGACGTGCCCAGGCGCTGGTGCGAGTCGCTGCACTCGGTGCACGACGTGCTCGGGACCCAGGTATCGGCTGAGCCCGAGTCGACCAGCATCCGGAAGGGCAGCTTCTCGCTGCCAATCTCGACCGTGACAACGTAGCCAATGTCGTTGGCTTCAATGTCGAGCCCGAGGCTCTGCGCAGCGGTGGGGTCCTCGGCCTTGAAGAGGTCCGCAGCGGTCGAGGCGGTCAGATCAGACTCGGGGAATCCAGTCTCCGCATCTTCTGACGCGACCGCCGCGACCGCGGGCGCGACCGATGCCGCTGCGGTAGCCGCTGAGGTGGTCGAAGGCGTCGGCGAAGTAGATGCTGTCGGGGTGGCCGAGGGGGCAACTGGAGCGGGAGCGGCGGTCTGAGTGGTCGAGTCAGAACCTCCCGTTCCAAGGATGCCGTCCAGCAGACCACCGAGCAAGCGCTTCTGGGCAGCGAGGCCCGTCTTGGCGTTCTTGGTGTACCCGAGGCGAGGATTGACGTGGCGCTGACCGACGGCCAGCGAGGCTTGGGCGGGCGCGAGGCCAGAACGCCGCGATGGCGGGTATGACAACACGGAGGCAGACACAGGGACGGCTCGAGCTTCGAGGCCTATGGAGCGTCGGGCTAGAACGCTCAGCCTTCTCTTCGCGAGCGCCTTCTGCATCTGCTCCGGGCTGACGGGAGCCCGCTTGAACATCGACGCCAGCTTGGCGTTGGCGCGGTTGATGTGATGTTGGTAGAGCTGGCGGGGCAGGAGGTGGGAGGCAAGAGGCGGGAGGAGAAGGCAGAGGGCGCGTCGCGAAAGCGAAGAAGGCTAGGGATCAGCGACGCCGGTCGGACGGACCCGTCGCAACGCCGTCATGCGAGTCGCTCCGGACCGCTCACCATCAGTGGATCGCCGCCATTGGGGTTCTCGAGCCGCTTGAGCTGCAAAGTCATGCCCACCCTCCCCGGCGTGTCCGAGAACGAGGACGCCGGATCGGACTTGGCCGCGCTCTGAGGCGTTCTGGAGCTCGACTCGCCAGCGCTCCCGTCGCCGCCGCTCGAGGGCGAGTTGACCTTGGCCATGAGCTTCTTCCCCTTTTTGATGACGACGCCGACCCTCGGCTTGGCTGGCTTCTTCTTGGACGTGGCCCGCGCCACCGGCAGCGCAGCCGCCGATGGGGGGAAGCCGACCGGTGCCAGGGCATCGTCGCCGTCCTGCCCTCTGATCGCGTTGCGTACGTCGATCGCTCCGATGTAGATCAGCAGCAGCAGAAACGCCAGCAGGCGGGCCGACATCTGCATCATCGTCGGTATTGATCGCGAAGTCTTGCGCGGACGCGGTCTTGCAGGGGTCTTCTTGATGGGCTGGACGCGGCTCGATCCTGTAGCGACAGCGGCAGCGGCAGCGGCGGTGACGGCGAAGGCAGCAATAGAAGCCGTGACAGCGTCGGACTGTGAGCGGTCATGGTCGCACCGAATCCGTGTGCAGCGCAACGTCTGCTCACCACTGAATCTACGACGGTCTTTCCGATGCCTCTCTTCTCCGATTTGAAAGGGTGAGGAGCTCCGTCCACGAGGAATAAGGAAAACGAGGAGCAAACGAAGAAGGAATGTGTTTTTCGTGGACGAGAGCTTGAGCTGCGATGGCCGAAACGGAGGAATGGATGGAGAGGCGGTCAGTCAGATGGCCAGACGCATCGATCGGCCTTCTCGCTCCCTAGCCGCCGGTGAGACTTACGACCGGCCTCTTGAGAAAGGAAAAGGGACTTGGCTCGAAAGGAAAGTGCAAGGTCGGCAGGCCAAGAGAGAAGGAAAGCAAACGGAGAAGAGAAGATGGCAACCCCAGAACCAGTCTTGAAGGGCGTCGGAAAGGGAGGGAACCGTCGAGGTCGGTGGTGGTTGATGCCGCGCAGCGTATGGAGGGAAAGGAAGGAAACGGGAGGGACGAGGGAGGCCAAGATGATAAAGGAAAGTCGCGAGAGGGGGGCAGGAGCTGCCTGTTCTTCGAGGGCAGTGAGGGCAGAGCACATGCTCTTGCTTGCCTAGCTGCAGCGGTCGGGGTCATCCCACCACACTGCCTTGAGCCAGCATCACCGTGGGCTCGACGTCGGGACGGTGATGGCATCTCGAGCATGCAGGATCTAGATCCATGGGATCGGCTAAACCTTGGCAGGTTGGATCGTCGTCGTCGTCGAGGCGCAAGCACGAAGGCCCAGCTACGGATCCAGTACTGTATGAGCGCATCGGTCGGGGCGAGGCGGATGCTCAAGCCATCCGACCTCGCAGCCGGCTGGCGTCCTTGGCTTGGCGGTCCGTTGCGATGCAGTGTCCGGCTCTCGCGTCGGCGTGTGAGCCGCAGTGACGGGACGGAGCGGGTGGAAGGATGCATCGGCCCATCACGCCGACGATCAGTCGGGCGGGCGTGCGAAGGTCTGCCGGTAGCACTGCGCTGGGTGTGACGGAGTGGTGCGCGATGTTGGCGGTGAAATGTCGCGTCGGACGGTCGCCGAGCGGTGGCGAATCGTGGCCTGCCTGCCGTACACGCCAGCTGCTTCCGCGCATGTTCAACTTCCACCTACGTCGTGGCCTTGCAGCATCCACCCAGGAGGAGGACGGCGGATGCGAGGTTGCCGCATTGTCTACCGTAGGTAGATGCCACGGGTCGTTGTGCAAGACTCAGCAAACAGATCGAGGGAGGCGCGGGCTGGCAGGGCGGCGTGCCGGTGGCCTGGCTTCCGTGGCTGTCCGTGGTCGTTGCATCTCGCTGATGCGTCAATCACAGACTGTAGGCAATCAGCCATGGCCAGGCATGCTGCAGGAAGAGGTTAAAACAGAGCGCTGCGTCGATACAGTGCTGTAGGTGACCTGCCCGATCCTGTTGCAATGATGGCGGTGACGCCCGTCTGCGCGACGCTGAGGGCCTGCGAACAAGAATAGCAGTCGAGATGGCGGCTTGTCGCGACTGCGCACGCACTAAGAGCGAGCAAGTCAGCATCGCGATAAAATGGCCGGGGTACTTACCTACCGCAGCTGTGTAGCGTCTTCAGGCCAGCAGTGGCGATGCTGAGGCCACGACCAAGGCGGTGCTGGGCTTGGTCACTGGTGTCAGTCCAGTAGTCGTCCGTGGTGCGCAGGCTGACGTAGCAGCGAGGTGTCAAAGGGAGGCATCACATCCCAAGTGCTGGTCCCAAAGAAGCCTGGTATGGCATAGACTGTTTGCCTGGCATGTTGATGAGGGTTGACCAAGGGGCGGTTGTTGGTGGTGATGGTAGTGCGGCGGTGGCGGTGGCGGTGGCGGTCGAGGGGGGGCTCTTTTCGGCCGGCAGATCGAACGACGCAAGAGCAGTGGCACGTTGTCGCCTCCACTACTCTGCTACTGGCCAACGCTCGGGCCGCACCGTTCCGCCGCTCCTCGACCTCAGCCAAGTCAAGAAGGCGGTGCGGCGCGGCGCGGCGCGCTTTCACTCTTTCTCAACGACTTCCTTCGACAAAGGTTCCTGCCACTTCCTCTACGCTGTGAGTGGCCGGCTACGCTTCGATCGGTCTGGACTGGACTCGCCCTATCGCTCACACCACGCTCATCTAAACGTTTCCCGCCGCCGACCCCACTCGCCACCCCTTCCCTCAGCCCTTTGCCTCGCCAGGATGAAGGAGCAGATCGCATTCTACGTCCTCGCCGCCTGCCAAAAGGCTCCCCAGGCGGTGCTCGACGAGATCCGCACCTCGGACACCATCGACGAGACCAACAGCGGCGAGGGCCCGCGCGAACAGTGCCCGCTCTACGACTTCATCGAGCTGGCCAGCCACGACAAGCTGTCGAGCCTCGACGACGTCCTCGCCGACCTGCGCCAGAGGAGCGCCGACACCTCGCGCGGCACACAGTGGGACGCCAGCCACTTTGTCGTCGCCGGCCACGAGGCCAATGCCAATCCATCCGTCGTCGTCTTTTACGAGCTCAGTGAAAAGGGAGACGTTCAGGGTCAGCTCAAGTGCACCGCGCCCATGGTCCTCGATCCCGTGAGTGGCAGCGCCACCATGCCCAGTTCAGCGAGGCACCACGACGTATCAGGTATCCTCTGACACCTCGAGAATGACCCTCCTCCTTCACCCTCCTTCTGCCATCTGCCATCTGCCATCTGCCTTCTGCCATCGCCCGTACCGCCACGCGCAGGCATGCAACATCCCCATTGCCAACATGGATCTCGAAGAGGTGAAAACAGCCGCCGCTGCGCCTGTCACCATGCCAGACCGATTCTGACGATCTCCTCCGCACCCCGATTGATGCTTTCCCGCCCTCCCAGTTCCAAGATGCCTGCGGACAAGACGGCATCTTCCGCGGCTTCCAGTAGCAGCCGCTGGTCCCCACCCTCTCCTTTGGCAACCTATGCGCATAGCCTCAATCACACATGCGCAGCTGCACAGCCACGCGGGCTTGCCCACGACCGATGCGCGTCTCGCGCAGCCCGCAACCCAATCACGTCGTCCACCCGCTCAATCGTGAGCGTCACAACCTCGGACGCCTCCCCTGCTGCAGGCGTTGCAGACGTGCATGCCTCCGTCCTCTACTCTCCGACGCCTGCTAGCCTCTGCGGCCTCGACGACCAAATCTGACAATGACGGGTGACATTGCAAGCACCTTGCTTGCTGATTAGACCTGCTTCTGCCTCTACAAGAAACCTCTTCTCCCTTTGCCGCGGAACGGACCCAAATCCAGGCGTGGTCAACTCGCGCTGCTGCCCTCTTGGCGAACGACGAGTCCGGCGGATCAATGGACGGCGGCTGCAGCACTCGCACCAGCACCGGCACCGGCACCCTGGGCCGAGGATGCCGCGGCGGCTGCGTCGCTGGACGACGGGGCATCGGCCAGCCGAGTCGATGCAATCACTGCTTCGCCCTGGCGCGCCTCGGCCTCGTACGCCGGCGGCGGTGGGTCGCGAGCCCTCGTCGTGCCCGCTGCGTTGCCGACCTCGCGTGCGTGCGGACGCCGAGTCGGCATGACAACTGGCCTGCCTTCGACCCCGACTGCATTCGGACCTGCCACGCGGGACACAGAGTCGCCCACCGTCGAGCTGAGCGCCAGCCAGCGCTGCGACAGCCGTTGCGGCGTCGCGGCGCCCGCGCTCGGATCGCTGCGATCGCGAGCTGGTGCCGAACGGTGAGACAGGGGCGAGGGCGGTCGACCGCCAATGCCCAGGCTGGGACCCAGTCGGCCGCTGCCGCTGTTGACGGGCGAGGGCATCGAGGGACGCGGAATGGCGCGCGGCACGCCGGGCGGGCTCGCGAGCGGACGCCGGCTTGGCACGTCGGGCTGCGCCGCCGCGGCATCGAGCGGGTCTGGGCCCGCGTCGTCCGGCGTCAGGCTCCAGTAGTTGGGCAGGTTCATCCACTCGTCGGCCGTGTGCACCGACGTCAGCGTGATGGGCGCCTCGATGATGATGTCGTACAGCTTGTGCTTGCGGTCGTCCTTGACCGGCGCCGCCGCCGCCTGCGTCCCGTCGGCGACCCCGTCGGGCTTTTCGACGCGGATCATGACGCGGACCAGGTGGTGGACCGCGATGTTGGACTTGGCGTGGTTGGTGCTGAGGTTGATGCGCGTCGTCGAGTGGTCCGGCAGGTCGAGGTCGGCCGCCAGCTCCCAGGGCCCGTGCGGGTCCATGATCGACGGCAGCGCCTCCGAGTCCGGGTCGTCGCCCGCCGCAGCCTCGGCGAGGGCGGCGAGCGGGCTGCGCTGCAGCGCCTCGGCCGAGTCCGACATGATGGGCAGCAGCGGCTCGCCCGAGCCTTCGTTGGCCACCTTGAGCAGCGTCCACTTGCGCGGCACCTCGTGGCGCGCCACGCGCCGGCCCTTTGCAAAGTAGTCTGTCCGCTCCTCGAGCATCGCCGTGATCTTGTGGATCCGCACCTTGCCCTGCGGCACAAACTTCAGCCAGAGCGGGATCTTGCGTCCAAAGGGAAAGCTCTTGCCGCTGAACACGACCATGTACGACAGCACGTCCTCCCACGTCCGCTCGACGACGATCGAGTCGGTCTCGTCGAGAGCGTCCTCGTCGGGCGCGTGGATCAGTTTGATCTCCCTTTCGGCAACCAGATTCGGGGTCAGAGCGCCGGAGCGGTACACGACGGCCTTGAGGACGTACTTGGTAAAGCCAAAGTCGGCATGCAGCGTCGGCGGCAGATTCGAGGGGAGCGAGATGCAGACGGGAAAGGTGTAGGTGCCCTTCTTGAACTCCTTGGACTCGGCCGCCGCGCCGACGTCCTCCTCGGCCTTGGGCTCGTGCTCCTTGAGCAGCCCGCCGATGAGACCCTTGAGCCCAGACTTTTTGCCCTTGCCCGGCTCGCCCGCACCCTTGCTGGCCTGCTTGAGCTTGCTCGAGACCGAAGTCTTGTCGCGCTCCGACACCTCTGCCGAGTTGCGCCGAGACGCCGGCGAGCTGCGGACCGGGCTCGGAGTCGACTGCGGACCCGGGACCAGCGAAGATGCCGATGCGGCAGTCGACACCGACGTAGCCGTTGCAGCGGCCGAGGAAGGGCCCGCGGCAGGGCCAAGAGGGGGAGGAGGGTGGTCGAACCGCACCGTCTGCTCCTTTGCGCGCGGCGAGAGGGTCTGGCCAGTGAGGATGCTCCTTCCTGGCGCGGCCGAAGGCGTCCGCGACATGGTCGGCGAGGATGGAGCCGTCGAGTCCCGCGAAGCGGCGGGATAGGCGTCTCGAGAGCCTGAGCCGCCCTCGGTCCAAGGGGCGGACGAAGTGGGCATCCATACCGGCGATCCGATCTCGCTCGATGGCGAGGTTGCGTTGGGCAACTCGTCGACTGTTGTCGTCGAAGGCCAGCCGTCGTAGTCAAACAGCGGTGCCGACCGCGGCGCGTAGCCTGGCGGCCGATCGCTACTGGGCGGTTCGAGGTAGGCGCTCCAGCGCTGCGCTGAGGTCGCCACTGCACCATTCGGTGGAGACGCCGCTGGAAAGCCTTCGCGAGCGGGGCTCTGCAAGTCTCTCCGAGCGAAGAGTTCGGAAAAGCTTCCCAGACCCTCCTGAGGGGCGCGAGGGGTCGCGGAACTCGCGAGGGGGCTCGGAGGCTGGAGCGGCGGCGAGCGGCTCGACGCTCCGGAGGCGGCATTGCCCTGGTCCGCCCACGAGGCGGTGCCTGACCCAGTCCGATTGAGAGCCGGACGAGCCGGGGCCTTGGTCGCGGCACCTTTGGATTTTGAAGCGTTCAGGTCGGGACGCAGCGTCGGCGGGATGATAGCAGTGCCCGCCTTGGCAGCGGCACCTGCCAGTTGGCGGGCCAGGTTGCTGCCAGTATTTGTCGTCTCCTCTTTGCGAGCAGCAGCGGGGCTGCGCGAGGAACTGCTCGCGCCTGCGGTGCTCGGATCCCGCTGCTGTCCACCGGACACACCCGCCGAGGCTGCGGCGGCCGAGTCCCAGTCGAACTCGTCGTTGAGACCGATGCCGGGTCCCACCGAGTTGCTCCTCCGCCTGCCGGGCACGGATCCTTCGACCTTGGCGTCAAAGAGAGTGGTGGTCTGCTTGAAGATGGTCACCTCCTCGACCAGCTCGAGGCGGTTGGGACCGATGCCCTCGGGCCAGTCGGTCCGAGCGGTACCCGTGAGGCTGACCGAGATCTCGCGCACCTTGCACGGCTTCGGGAGGTAGACGGTGATCAGCCCCCTCAGTTGCGAGGGCGGGGCATCGACGTTGATGGGCCTCCTCCGGCCGCGGGCATCTTCGCCGGCTGCCGACTGGCCTCGAAGGTAGACGACGGGCTCGAGCTGCGCGATTGATACGGCGGCGGGAGACATGGATGGTCGTTCAGGTGCCGCGCGGATCAGCCGGTCGGCTCTTGGGTGTGAGGCAACGTGAGGGGCGGAGCTCGACTAGGAGCCGAAGCAAGCCGAGCTCGACTGTAGGACGTCGCGAGCTTGAGAAGCGGTGGCAAGAAGGGTTTCCGGGGGCAGTTCCGAGCGTGCAATTGGGAAGGACGAGGTTGCGGCGTTGTCCGATCCGAGTGGGAGAAGGCAGCAGCAGGCGTCTAGCTCGAATGCCGAGGCGTGCCGTGCCGCTGATAGAGTGCACCAGGCGGGCAAGGCGATCTCAATTCGCTCGAGCGTCGAGCGTCTATGTCGGGGAGGGCGTCGCTGGGGTGGTCAGGGAGCAGCGCTGCGTCGGTGATTCCGCAGCCAGGAGCACGCGATGGTCGAACAGCGATGGCCGAAGATCGAGGATCGAGGATAGAGACAGTGGCAGTGGCGGTGATGTCGACCTCTTGAAAGGTTGCTCTTCCTACCCTAGCCCCGGCAGACCGTGGACGCTCGGTGGCGTGATGCGGGCAGGTGGCCTGCGAGAACGGCGGCGACGGGGCCAAACAGGCTAGGGTATGTCTGGCGGCGGTGTCGGTGGTGGTGGTCGAGAGGAAAGCGTCGGGCGATCCGCGAGGCGAGCACCCCATGGCTTCGCCTGCCTCCGTCCCCCTCGGCCTCGACCTCGACGCTGCGCCGGCCAGTCAGGGTTCGGCAACCTGCTTGCTTGCTTGCTGCTCGCTGTGAACAAGGTGAGCCTCGTTATTTTGGGACTCGATGGCCCCACTCTCGGAGGGATGATTCATGGCAGCAGCATGCCTTGCGGTTTGCCAGCCAGCCAGAGTACGTCTTGCTCTGTTTCGCCCTTCGGCCCTTTTCCGAGCCACGCGACCGGGCGAGACCGAAGCGCCCCGACCCCCGCCTGCCTCCTCTCTTCCCGGCCCCTCTCGTGGTGAACACGCCATGGCGATGGTCCTGCCGTAGCCATCTATCTCGCCCGCTCCCTCCGTCCGAAACTGAACTCGACGAGGCCGGAGGTCGGCGAGGGCGATGAGGGCGGTGACAGCCCGCCGCCGCCGCCGGCGTCGCCTTCGGGAAAGGCCGAACTTTTTCTGAGCCGATGCATAAACCCTAGCCTTCCGTTTTCCCTCTGGGCAGGCCGTGCAGCGCGGCGTGGCTTGCTTTTCGGCGTGGAGGGCGCTCGACGTCGTCGCTCCAGGACGTGTGGCACCACCAACCCTTGCCCCGTCCTGGCCCCGAACAGGAGGCCGAGGCTAGGGCTGGCGAGATACCAACCAAAGCCGAGCCGGGCGGGCTGACGGGCGCGCGATATCGACGTGCACATCGCATGTATGGCTCGAGCGGAGAGTCAGCAGGCCTAGGGCAAGGCGACGCTGGGCTAGGCCAGGATAGGGTGGCGGGGCACGTTGCGAGAGCATAACCTGTCCCCACAGGCGTTGCCGCGGCCCAACCCGGCCCGCCGCTGGCTCCACCTAGGACAAAGGGACGGCTCCGCAGGGCACGCCTGCCAGGCCAAGGCCGGATTGCGGGGCATCGGGTCGTGGCCTCGATCGGGCTCAGAACGTGGTGGACCGGGCGAGGTCTTCTCCACCTCACCAGCTGGCAGGCAGGCGGCAGCCAGCACCTTGGTGGCACCTCGCTCGCTCCATCTCCACCGACTTCCACCTTCCTCGCTCCCTCGCACACCCTCTTCACCGTTGCAGCGTCCTGTTCGTGACGGCTCGGAATCTTTCTCCTCTCTTTTCAGACCGGCAGCAGGAGCCAGTCGGTCGATATGCCGGCATCCCAAGCCGCAGCCGCCGCAGCTGGCGGCGCACCCGCCCAGCCCGATGCACCACCAGCCACCGACTGGAAGTGGACGCTCGGTCGGGCCGCGATCATGTACCTTGGAGTCCAGTTTGTCATGGGACGTGAGTAGTTGCAGCTGGCGGCATTGCGCTCGGCGAGCGGTCAGTCGTCAAAGGGCTGGCAGGTGTACAGACGTCGCGCATACCTCTCTGACACGGCCTCTTCTCCTTGCCCTGCCCGGCCCCCGGCATTCATCTACTTGGCCGCCCCCGGCCGCCGTGCCGTCAACAGCCAACGGTCCCTTTGCCAGCAAGAAGGGCCCGCAGACGCAGCCGAGCGCACAGCAAGGTGTCGCTTCGGGGGACCCGACGGTCGTCGACGCCTCGTCGGCGGTGCCGGCGCGGAGCAGCCCCGTGCTGCCCGGAGCCGAAGTGGTGCCTCTGGCGGCGTACGGCAGGCCCACCGTGCCGGCCTGGTCACAGGATGCACCTCTCGACTTTTACGTCTACATCTCGTCGGCCCCTGCCCCGACGCACGAGGACCTCTTGACGCAGTCGTCGGAGCTCGTCGCGGGCGGCGGTACGGAGCGCGCTCCCCCGGTGCCCTTTGACGCTTTCCCGCAGCTGCTCCAGGACCCCTTCCGTCCGGACGCTGGCTCCGATGCCCACGTCGTTTACGCGCCCGCAAACGGCGTCGCGAGCGGCAGCGGCAGTGGCAGCCTCCGACCCATTGCGGCCGCAAAGTGGTCCGACATTGGGCTCGGCGACTTTGCCATGACGCGCGACGTCGACTTCACCCTCAAGCTCGACGACCAGGTGCGCAGCAACAACGGCAGCATCTGGGCCGACCTCGTCGTCACGCCGCGCGGTGTGGCGCTCAACAAGCTCGACAGGGCGTCGGCGCGCAAGGCGGTCCTACGTACGCGAAAGCGTGAGTGGCCCTAGGTCACCCTATGCGAGCTTGGAAGCCCTTTCGACACCTGCCTCGATGCCACATCCTGACCGCCTACCTTTCCCGTTCTCTCCTGGCCTCGTCGTCTGCCAGTCCTGACCCGGCTGCTGCCCCTCAAGAGGAAGCGCGAGGAAAAGAACCTCTTTGGCGGCAGCAGCAGCAAGAGCGGCTCGGAAGCCGAGGCTGGCGAGCCCGACGCCGCCGAAGATGCCGTCGATGCAAAGGCGCCGCCGCCGCTGGTCGGGCACTGGCACACGAACCTGTCGGTGGCGCTCGTCCAGGACGACAACAACCCGCAGATCCAGCTGCAGCAGCTGCCCCCGCCGCTGCGGCAATACATCCACGTCCCGCGCGACGGAGCGGGCGAGAAGCTGCAGGACCCCACGGGCCAGTTTGACCTGCGCTTCCCCACCGTCTTCCCCAACGACTTCTGGCTTCTCAAGGAGCACATGACGCCGATCAACGAGACGGTGAGCGAGGTGCGGCTGCACATCCACCTCTACCACCAGACGTTCTTCAAGTTCCAGATCCTGGCCTCGGTGTCGGACGCGTTCGACAAGCAGGCCTCTGGGGCCGGCGGCGGTGGCGGCATGGGTGCGAGCGCGACGGGCAGCGAGATCGACATGCTCAAGACGATGCTCCTCGAGACCAACCCGTGGTTCCTGGCCCTGACGGTGACTGTCAGCCTGCTGCACAGCCTGTTTGAGTTCCTGGCCTTTTCGTCCGACGTGCGCCACTGGAAGAACAAGGACAACCTGGCGGGCGTCAGCTTGGGCTCGATCCTGACCAACGTCGTGGTCCAGATCATCATCACGCTGTACCTGCTCGACAACAACGAGGAGACATCGTGGATGATCCTGGCGGGCCAGGCGGTGGGCGTGCTGATCGAGGTGTGGAAGCTCACAAAGGCCGTCACCGTCGGCCTGGTCGCTGCGCCGCCGGGGTCGCTGGTGCCCTTCCGCCTCAAGATCTCGGACAAGCACGTGCTGAGCGAAGAGGAGAAGCGGACGCAGGAGTACGACAAGCTCGCGTTCAAGTACGTCGGCCTCGTGGCGGTGCCCGTGCTGGTGGCGTACACCGTCTACTCGGCGCTTTACCAGACTCATCGAGGCGTAAGTGGTGGCGTGGCGTCGCGTGGCGTGGCGCTCTCTGAGATCCGGACCCGGACCAGCATCCTCGCCCCATCGTAGCGACTCCGACTGACTGATCTCACATGCCCTCTCCCCTCTCCGCCCGCGTCTCCCTTGGCGCCCTACGCAACAATCCTCTCGACGACTGATCGTTCCGACGCGTGCCACACAGTGGTGGTCCTTCATCATCTCGACGGCGACGTCGTTCGTGTACGCCTTCGGCTTCGTGTCGCTGGTGCCGCAGCTGATTGTCAACTACAAGCTCAAGAGCACGGCGGGCATGAACACCAAGACGTTTGTGTACAAGATCCTGGGCACGTTTGTCGACGACCTCTTCGCCTTCTGCATCAAGATGCCCACGCTCCACCGCCTCGCCTGCTTCCGCGACGACATTGTCTTTTTCATCTTCCGTGAGTCGCGGGCCGCCCTTCCCACCCTCCCTCTCTCTCTCTCTTCCCGCGGTGGCGCGGCGCTGTCTGGCCTTTTTTGGCTGTGGGGATGCTAATCGTTCTACCCACCCGCTCTGGATCTCCGATGCACGGCGGCGGTGGTGGCAGTCTACCAACGTTGGATCTACGGAATCGATCCGACGAGGAGGAACGAGTTTGGCCAAGTCGTCGATCCAAAGGACGACCAGGACGAGGGCGGCGAAAAGGACAAGGTTAAGGCAGGCAAGCCGACGACGCCCGCCACGCCCGCTGTCGGCGCCCTCAAGGCCTCGGGACGCGAGGAACAGGTCAGAGACGGTCTAAGGCCTCGAGGAAGTGCCACAGCAGGCGAGGCAAAGGCGGAGCAGGAGTAGTAGCAGCGACGAAAGGGCGGCTCATCGTTCGATGCGTCGGCTTCGAGACAGGCGCATAGGATGCATTCGGCATTGCGATGGGTCGCCGGATAAGACGAGGTGGGAAAGCGACCGAGGCGCACGGGAGGGGATGGTCGAGCATGCTACTTTACAACAAGAAGAACAACAACAAGGATTCGAAGCCGGTGGGGAGGATGAGCAAACAGTGGTGTCGACGTCGACGACCCAGGATGGCACGACGAGGTCGACCGGCGACTAGGCCCTGACGCTGCCCGCCGCCGTCTGCCAGAGCTTGGGCTTGGCGAGCACCTTGATGTCGCCGTACTCCTCGTGCTGCTGCAGCTTGACGCAGTCCTTGGTGCCCAGCACCAGCATCTCGAAGAAGAAGCCCGCCGCCGCGCGTCTCGACGCATTCTGCGACACCTTGGCAAAGCTGAGCTTCTTGACGCCTCCCTCGTCGTCGTCGGTCTCGACGAAGCGCGAGGCCGTCGTTGCCGC